CCATGACCCTGATGACCCCCCTTCCCCCCAGGGGGGAAGCCCATGCCCCTGATGACACCCTCGGGGGGGGGAGGCCTATGACCCTGATGACGCCCCCCCGGGGGGAAGGCCCATGACCCTGACCCCACCACCCATCCCGCCAGTGCGTCGGTGCAGAGCTGCATGTATAATGTGTGACACCCCCACGCCCGCGTGCATGCCCGATGATGCCCGTATTACTGCCGATAGCGAACTTAATTCCGCGTGCAAAATTTCGCTGCCGCCTTTATCGGTGTATGGTCGGGCGTGAGGATCGGGCTGGCAGCGACGACGCGGGGTCGACGGAGCCTGCATGATAATGAGGCGGCAGTGACGGTGTGTGTGTGTGTGTGTGTGTGTGTGTGTGTGTGTGTGTGTGTGTGTGTGTGTGTGTGTGTGTGTATACATATATATATATATTACCACGCCATAATTACCACGCCATAATTACCACGCCATAATTACCACGTAATGCTCGTTACGTGGTATCGATTTTTGCTTTCACTCCATCCGTGCGACAGGCCGGCATGTCGGACATTAGATAAACCCGTGTAGCCTCGATGGTTAGTCATCATCTCACCTCGTTAGCAACACTAGCACATATATTTGATGGTTAGTCATAATCTCACCTCGTAGTTCACTAGCACATATATATATCAGGGGTTAATAATGACCCCCCGCATTATTAACCCCTGATATATATGCTAGTGTTGCTAACGAGGTGAGATGATGACTAACCATGGAGGCTACACGGGTTTATCTAATGTCCGACATGCCGGCCTGTCGCACGGATGGAGTGAAAGCAAAAATCGATACCACATAACGAGCATTACGTGGTAATTATGGTACTAAACACGCGACAAGACGGAAGCCGCTGCCCCCGCCCTGCTTTGCCGCTCCGTAACAGTACAGGTACGAAATGGATGTCACTGGGGCGGCTTTATATTATGCGGGTTAACTCCAGCTGCGAGAGGAAAATATCGGGCCCCCTGGCGGCGGGCTCAATCATGGGGGGATGCATCAGTCGCTTTCCCTTTCCGCCTACGTTGACATGAGTCAGCTCTCAGCCAATTACGGTGAGCGGAACCCCCCCCCCACCGGAAAAAAACCTCTAATAGAAACTACACGGCTCTTCAATGAATTTCGAATTATGACACCGGAGCAACATTTGTAGAAGGGGTTGCCCACTCAGCAGAGCAATGGAGTTCATGAAGTTCGAGTCCTGGCAATGCATTCAACCAGAGCAATGGACCGATCTTCTGAGCAAGACAATTACGTACGCGACCCTTGGCTAACTCGGTCAAGCTATACACGAGTTTTTCACGCGTGTATCGCCAAAATGTCTACTTTACCGTATTTAGTTGCTAAGCATGATCTTTTAGAACTTTTTATCACAACGTTGATTGGCTAGAGCTACATGTCAATCACGCAAGAAGGTCAGGATAACCGCGTCTTCATCCGAGTGTAACCGAGCGTCTTGTAATCTCACCCACCGACACATCCATTACCTCGTCCATAGTCGCGCCGGTGATTCCAGTGCAAAGGATGAATAGTTGAATATTAATATATTTCCTTTAACTTTCTACTCGTCAACGTCACTGCACGTTACCGAGAACGGACTCTAGTTGAGTAGTAAGAAATTTCTCCTTGCTACCCGCTGCATGTAAACGTCATTCAACGTGACGTGTAAACTATGATACCAGACGTAAGATAGATTAAAACACGCAATTTCTATTAGGCAGCAAGCGTTACTGGAGCAGATACGCTCGGTAATGGGTGGACACGTCTGAACATCCACAGGAAGCGTTTAAGAGATGCTACTTGGGTTATTTCTAAAGTAATAAAAATGAAAATACGAGTTTAGTGTATGAGTAATAATGAGTTTTAAGCCTTTTAGAAAGGGGAGTAGGTGGAGGAGGTTGAAGTTCTGTAGAAAAAAATGACCATGTTCGTTCGTCGACAACGTTGACGGTTGTACTGCAAGGGTGAATCCTTGCACATCTTCAGTGTCCCGAACAATAACCAAATGCATGGTAATTTTCAGCAGCGGTACGAACAGAAACTCACCACTTCCCTCCAAAAAAATACGAAGACAAAATCTAATAAGTCATTTAATCTAGGTCAAAATTCGGAAGAAAAAAAATATTTATGCATCACCTGCCAATGTTAATAATCACAAATCACTTGCGATCGAATTTTTTCCGGGCTTTTTACGTGAAAGTCGTTTTCATCAAAGAAGAATCGATGCCATCTTAGCCAGCCGTGAGCGCCATTGTTTGATGCACGGCTGAATGTACATGACGCATTTATACTAGGAATATGTGATATTTGAATCAACCGGTGCTTATGCCATGCCGTGTTATACAAGCGACCGCTCGTTGAGATGTATTATGCTATTATCTCCTATCACGTAGTAGTGTCATATTGGTACGGTAAGTGTTTTAAAAAGTGCGCGCGCGTGCGTGTGTGACGAGATAATATAGCGCGCCCGCGCGATTTCTTTGTTCTTTTCGTTCAAACAACCACGCGTAGTTTGTTTTGGACGCGCGAAAAATGACACACGACTGAATCGGCGTTTCAACGTATTTGCTATTTATTGGATAGGCCTTGTGCTTGAGTGGTGAGGAGTGACGAGGGGGAGGAGAAGAGAGGAGAGGGGGGAGAGTGGAAAACGAGGGAGAGAGGCCTAGCGTGAGTAGCGATAAACGTATACAAAGACGATATACGACGCCGTTCATATACGATACACTCTCGCCGTAAAAAAATCACGTGCTTATTTCGCGCAATTCAAAATTTGATTTACCGCGCATATTTTTGCCTTGTGCGCAATACTTGTGAGTATGGGACCGAGATGAGTAGGGGGGATGACGGAGATGTGGCTTGATCCGAGCTCGGGATTACATATACAAAGCTGACGGCAGGCGTGAGTCTTAGTGAGCTTATCAACTTTGTTGTGGTGCGTTAAATTGTGCCCCGCCTAGACGCGGGTGCGCAATTCAACGTTGGTTACGACATGGAAGCTACGCTTACCCTCCACTGAATTATGTGCCAGTCTTACTCATCTCGAATATCGCCGTAACGACACGTGATTTATCGCGTGCGTATGCTTTCAGTGGCAGGCGATAGATGGAGCTCGATCTGCGGTAGCGGTGTCGTTCATTATAGCATATCTCGTGCGTATAACGTTACGTTTTGTTCGCAATGACCACTCCCTTCACACGTGTGTACATGCGCGCGTGTTACGCTCGTTCCAGTAACGCGGGCGCGGCAGAGAGAAACAAGAAAGAGAGAAAGAGAGAAGGAGAGCGAGATAAGGGGTGAGAGAGAGAGAGAGAGAGACAGAGAGAAGGAGAGAGAACGAGAGAGTCCTGTACATCGTTTACGTTATCGTTACGTCGCGGGCGAGTCGACAGGTTATCATTATGTCATCGCAGTTGTTGTGCGTCACGTAGAAGATGCGCGGTGCATTGTGTGCGTGATAATCAAGCCGCTGCTATCATCACCATATAATAGCCGTTAGAATAGCTGTGGTAGAATAGAACGTATATATATATATATTATATATATATAATACCGTCTGGATCCCGATTTTATGAACGTTATGAAAGGTGGGGTCATGTAGACTTGGGAGGACCAACGTATGTGAATCATCGCCTCTTATATATGCAAGGGAAAGAATGAGAAAATTCCACTGTGTAGAATATGAAAATGACAGTGGGGGACAAGGTCAAATGTTGCGCTTGTGGTTGTGAACGAATACTTTAATTCGAATGTGTTGTACATCGCTAACTGTTCGCTTTTATGATGACACGAATGAGGGCGAGCGAAACATGCTTTTGTATATGTATACCCTCGGGGTAAAGGTTTAATTTACTTGTAAGAAGATTTATGTCTGGCTGACCTTCTTTATTATCTGACGTGGACAGACGGTGACTGTTTCACTGGGCACAAACGTAAATGTCATATATTTTACGAAATCGCGAATCCGCTAACAGCTCTCGGCTCTTAATGACTATTAAAGATAAAGCTTTTGTAGCGATCTATAAATCGTAGTTGAGAGCAGATTGCACATCGTCGACGAATTTGGAACGAAATGCGCATTTAGCTCAGCGGGGCGTAGCAAAAATAAGCGAATTGTTTGGGACGTGCCACGGCTTGTAATCACTAAAACAAACACTCACTGTCCCGGGAGACATCGTGGCCCGTGTTGCCCTCTCACGACAAAACCCCGAACATGTGCGCATGCAAGCGTGAATACCGCATAACACCCCAAGCAGGAAATCTTGTGAGACAGCAAGAGAAAGAGAGAACGAGAAAGGGAGAGAGAGAGAGAAAGCGGAAGAGACGGAGAACGAGAGAATGAGAAAGAGAGAGAGGCAGAGAGAGAGAGAGAGAGAGAGAGAGGAGATGATTTGTGAGCAGATGGATGAGAGACTCCTTTTGAGAGAGAGAGAGAGAGAGAGAGAAAGAAAGAAGGAAATAGGAAGAGACAGAGAACGAGAGAGAGATAGATAGATAGAGATAGAGCGAGAGGGGGGAGAGAAAGAGATGTATGAAGTATGTATTCGGACCCGTAGCGGATTAGCTTGTGAACATGTATGTATTCGTGGGTCTTTCGAGGACTCCGCAATCCAAAGCAGAGTGATTGCGCAGTTACATACGCGGTCAGAACGTATTTGTATATTTGGGATATTTTGGTATAATTAACACTTCAGGTTGGAAACGACACTGAAAATTTTCCCATATACGCGTTACCAACTACATTATAGGCAGAAAAAAGTTTTCTGAATAAACCTCGATTTACTGCATGAAATACAACCGAAATTTAAATAATAATAATATTAATAATATCCCAACAGCACAGCCAACACCTATGATCAAAGCAATTTCTTCAAAGCAGTTTCTCTATCCCTCCCCTCATGACGCTGCTCTCCGCTTCGTGTGTAAATAGTTTCTCATTATTCCTTGCGTTTCGTTTGCAGATTTAGAGATGTCCTCCGCTCGGACGATGGCAGCACCAGCGGCGGCAGCGCCACACTAGATAACGAAGGGTAGAGTGATTACAGGTCTTCCTTCTCGCATTGCTGTCATCATGATGCTCAGCGGAGCTCTCGTCGTCTGCAGTCTCCTAGCAACGCTGGCGACGCTAGGCGAGGGTCTCACCGTGTCCAAGAGCGGCCCCTGGCGGCGTGCTCGTGAATACGTAGTGTTACAACAACAGCAACAAGTGCGGACGCTGCACGGCAAGCACACGGCAGCGACGTTGACGATGGAGCGGCGAGACGGCGGCCTCGCGCAGTTCAAACAATGGCAGCGAGAAGCGCAGACGAACAGGAGCGCGCATGACGCGCATGCAGCCGCCGCCGCGGCGGGTATTAGTGCTGCCGGGGATCAGCCGGCCGGTGAGGCACCAGCAGCAGCACGACAAACAAAGACGCACGGGTCCGATCATGAACTCAGCGCCGTCGCCGACGGCGTGCTGTGGTCAGCGAAACTCGAACGACGCGTGCCGACGGGCTTCAGCGACGACGACGTCGTCGCGTGGAAGCGGGCGACGTCGGACAGCGCCGTCGTCGCCAACATCAGCATCGGCTGCGGCCGCATGCAGAACCGCGTTGTAACGTGGCGCGACGGCACGCACAGCTGCGCCCGCTACCGACTCAACGCTGAGCAGATCCAGGGCGAGATCTACTCGTTCTACCTCAGCCGCCTCCTCGGTATCGCCAACGTCCCACCGTCGCGGCTGTCGATGATCCACCCGCGCGAGAAGCGCTGGCTGGCAGTCAGTGAGCAACTCGCCGCCGCCGAGTGGCAGCTGGAGAAGCCATTCGTGTTGGCGCGCTACGTAGACGGGCTCACGCCCGCGTACATCCCGCCGGAGATGCGTTACGCCAACAGGAGCTTGCACCCGTCTAGACGCCTGCTCGAGAAATCCGAGGATGAACTGCGCGAGCTCGTGCAGTGGAGCGACCTGATCGTGTTGGATTACGTCACCGGTAACGTCGATCGCGTCGTTAACAACATGTTCAACGAGCAGTGGAACGCCTACGTCATGGACGCGCCTGCGCACAACCTCGACCGCGTCGCCGCGCCGCCCGCGAGCGGCTCCCGACAGGTGGCGCCAGGGCTGCTCGTGTTCTACGACAACGAGTCGGGTCTCCTGCACAGCTATCGTCTGCTGGACACGTACCAGGCGTATCACGATAAACTGCTGCGCAGTCTCTGCCTGTTTCGCGCCAAAAACGCGGCGGCCATTGCGAAGTTTCATGACGCAGGCAACGTCGGTGACGTTCTGTGGAAAACCTTCGCCACCGCCGAACCAGAAATGCATAAACTGGTGCCGCGACTACCGGCCAGGAACGAGGCGATTCTAAATAAGAGAATAACGGACGTTTTTAATCAAATTCAAAGATGCTCAAAGCTCTACGGCAAAAGTTAGTTCTATGTCTCCCACCCCCACAATAAAGTCGAGATAATTCTGACGTAAATATTGATAAACACATGGAATGAATATGTGGGGCCGGATTACTGACACTAGGTTTTATCACTAGCCTCAAAGATGCTCAAAACTCCACGGCAAAAGTTAGGTCTACGCACTCAATAAAGCCGAGAGATAATTAGGACGTAAATATTGATGAGCGCATGCGATGTTGATGTGAATATGTGTGGGACCCGTGTAGCATGGTGTACATCCCCCCATGGTTAACGTCCCCCTCTACGTTGCGCGGGGGCATGGGCATATCTTGTAGGGTGCGTAATACCTTTGACTCTGATTTCACCCATATTGCCTATGCGCAATGTAGAAGTAGGAAGTTTGCCATAGGGGAATGTACACGACGCTACACCAGACCAGTTACACTAGATCTCACCCCCTGACCGAGGAAATTGTGCCGCATAGGCTTCATCGTGGCTCTTGGAACCTATCCCTCACGTTAACGTCGTCCTTGCGAAATACATCACGCACGTGTTATATGAAATGAAGCACGATTCATATTCGCGGTAATACGCATTGCAGCGACTGCGTGCCTGACACTCACTGTCCGTCATCAACATAGCTGCTTTCCGCCACGGAAAGCATCGGTTACAAATCCCGCTTGCCCCCAAGAAAGCGCCTTAACCATAAAGGCGTGCCTAATCATATACTAGCACCAATCTAACTAATCTAAATCATTTACTTCAGGCGATTGGTATCGACAGCTTACCTGCGCTTGCATATGCGCATGCACGATGGGAAATCGTAGTCGTGCAATTTATCAACACCACGCATCTGAGAAGTGAAATCTCCCGGATCGTGGAATCATTGCAGTAAGACGTGTGGTACCTATCAGGCGTGTATCTCTGCATTAATTAAACAATAATTGAGGTTACACAACTCGGTGAGGCGAAATCCTGAAAAAATAGTCGAGGAAGGAATTATTCATGGTTCTGTGAAGGATCGACGTGCCATCAGGAGTGAATAAAAACAAATTTAAAAACAAACAAAAACAATTTGTTTTTATTCGCTCCTGATGTTGTCAGCGTTTAATTGTGAACGGCCCCACGTGAGACAAATCGAACATCATCCGTGGGTCAGCGACAGCCGACGGATCATACGGATTATTTATATATAGCTATTTATTTGCTACTGAAATCGTCAGTATATAGAAAATTTGCGTAGATGTGATGTACGTTTTCAACAAGCTTGAGGCAAGTATTGCACTATATAGCGATTGTGGTGGTAAGTCGCACGTACAGTCGTGGTGGAAGCGTGTTAAGAATACAAACGTTATTGTAAGAAAACTTTGCAAAGAATCGCACTCATCGACGCACGCGCGCACCCGGGTGTGGATGGGTGCATGGGTGTTGCTGCTGACTGCGTGCGTGCGTAGTGAGTGCGTGCGTGCGTTTCTGTGTGACTAGTAGTAGTGTATACAGTTATGTTTGTTTCTTTGCGATAAGTTATAACTCTGTATATAATTGCCAATAAAATTATATAATTTCGAAGAGATGCATGTCGTAGTCGCCAATGACAAATGAGAATCAAAAATGGCCAAATGGATGTAAAATTTGTAAATAAAGATGAACCATGTTATTTCAATACATCCCAGGTGTTAATTTGAATGTATGCGCGTGTTGCATTGAATGTATGTCGTGTTATCAGACCAAATGCATAACAATCATTTCCCTATTCTCGTAAATGCGATTTGAATAAAGATTATTTGCAGACATCAGCGCATAAAACCGGTCCAACGAGTATAAAGTTAACAGCTACGTCACGCCATACACACGCATACTAACACCGCAGACGACGAGCGAGATTTATGTAGTGTTATTTTAGTTTAAGGATATGTTTTCATTTAGCATTTTTCATTGGGGAATCATGGAGTGGCTAAAGCGGTTCTTGTGCTGCATGGCGCGCACAGGGATCCTCTTAAGCTTCGAGTTGTAGCTCTCTATTTACACGATATACCACATGCCTATCGAAGATTTATTTATTTTTCTCTTATGATTGAACGAGAAATGGCGTTTAAAGAACTATTTGATTGAGGAATTGTAATTTGTCATGTCTCTCCGTGACAGCCTCTCCTTGTGTTAGGGGGAACTCAATCGGGCAGCTAATAGGGTAACCAAGCTTAATTCCTTGTAATCGAAATGGGAAATGGAAATTAGTCCCGAAGGATTGCTCTGTGCTGCCCACTTTAAATGGATAATTTCAACGAAATGATTTTATATATAATAGGAATGCGCAAAATCAGATTGAACCAAAAGTACGGTCTGGAAATATTAATGAAGACAGACGGGTTGCTTTATTAAAGTGTTGCTTAAAAAAAAGTGTTATTAAAGTTAAAGTTAAAGTGTTATTAAATTTAACAAAAAGGTTGCTTTTTGTTAAAGTGAGGTGTTGTTTTCCATAAAAAACTACTCGAGCGTATATTCCTTCCAGTTTTCATATTTCTTGTCAAACAACTATTAAGTGTGCGCAGAGTAGATGTGTGTAATTTCAACACAATTGCGTTGTTAGTTCGTTTCGTTTAGCACCGTGTATTATAACAAACTGCATGCAGTGCCCCTTCGCACACTCAAGATACCACGTAGAATTGGGCCAGAGCGAGAGCGCCATCTGTCGTGGAGTTTGGTATTATAATATTATCTCATGCGCGACACTAGCGCCGACCAACGGCAGCGAAAATTAAATTGTATTTTTTTTATTTTTTTTTTATTTATTTATTTCGATAATTACTAAAGCATACATTACATCGATAACAGCATAAATAAACAAAATGCAGCTAGAAAATTATCGAGGATGAAAACACAAAAAAGCGTGGCTAACACACTTATTTCCATTGTGGTCCAACATAACATTGTACATACTATACTATAAACTATAGCAAATATATACCCACGATCCCCAAAATTTCTTAGTGATACATTGTTACAGTACAAAACATTGAAATACAGCATAAAGAAAAAATATATACAAAAAAAACTTCAGCATATTATGTACAAGTAAAGTGATTAAGGTAAGTGTTGAGCAGTTAAAAAGAAAAAAAAAGAAAAAATAGAAGCTTTCTGAGTGATACAATACAAAACAGAGACAGATACATGAAGAAAAAATATAAACGAGAAAAAAACTTCAGCATATTCTGTACAGGTAAACTGATTACGGTAAATGTTTAGCCGGTAGAAATGATGTTTCCTGAGTGAATACAGTACAAAGCAGTGCAGAACAACACGAAGAAAAACTAAATACACAAAAAAAACTTCATCAAATTTGGTACAAGTATAGTACCCTTTTAGCACATCATTTCGACACTCGGTTCGTACACCATTATATCCACATTACAAACATAACATATTTCGCACACACTCACATTTGTATAGATATAAACGTATTGAAAAGTGCACTGGTTCTGCCAAGAGAGTAAAAAAAAGAGACCCTCCCCCAATCATTAAAAAAAGAGGACAGTGGCCTTGTTTCATAGACACCTCGG